CATCAAAAGGAAAATTCATTGAAATGAAAAGACAGCTTATGGAATTGGATAAAATATTTGGAATTCCTCTATCTGATAAAAGGTTAATATCTTAAACATATGAGGAACTCATACAATGCAATATTTTTAAAAATCTAGAAAAATAAATCTGAATTTTAAAATGTGCAGAGAAGAAAAGAGGCAAACCATAAAACAAATATTTTTTTTTAAGTTTTATTTATTTTGAGAGAGAGAGAGAGAATGAGCAGAGAGAGGAAAAGAGAATCTCAAGCAGGCTCCTCACTGTCAACACAGAGCCTGACACAATGTCCAGTCTCACAAACCATGAGATCATGGCCTGAGCCAAAATCGAGAGTCAGAAGTTTAAGCCGCTCACGCACTCCGAAACAGACTCTTAACTATAGAGAACAAACTAGGGTTGCTGGGGGGAAGGTGGGTGGGGGAATGGGTTAAATGGATGATGGGTGTTAAGGAGAGCACTTGTTTGTGATGAGCACTGGGTATTGTATGTAAGTGCTGAATCACTAAATTCTACACCTGAAACTAATATTACACTGTATGTTACCTAACTGGCATGAAATTAAAAGTTGAAACTAAAATAAATAAAATAAAAAGGTTCAGAGAAACTAAATAGACATTTTCCCAAAGAAGACATACAAATGGACAACAGATACATGAAGATGTGCTCAGCATCTTTAGTCATGAGCGTAATCCATATCAAAACTAGAATGAGATATTATTTCATGCCTATTAAATGGCTTTTACCCCACCTCCCCGCTCAAAAAAAAAAAAAGAAAAGAAAGAAAGAAAGAAAGAAAGAAAGAAAGAAAGAAAGAAAGAAAGAAAATAAGAAGAGCCAAGTGATAGTGAGGCTATGAAGAAAAGGGAAGCTTTGTTCACTCTAGCCACAAGTGTTAATTGGTACAGTCAGTATGGACCACAGGAAGAGGTTCTTCAACAATTAAAAATAACACTATCATATGATATAGAAATCCCACTTCTGGGTATACATCCAAAGGAAATCAAATCACTCTATCAAATAAATATATGTATTTTAGCTGAGATAAAGAAGGAAATTCTGCCATTTATGACAATAAAGATGGAGTTTGAGGGCATTATTTTAAGTGAAATAAATTAGACAAAGATAATACTGTCTGATCTCATTTATATGTGTGTTCTAAAGAGGCTGAACTCATAGAAACAGTACAGTGGTGATTGCCTGGGGCTGTGGGTTGGGGGAAATGCAGAGATGTTGTCAAAGGGTACAAACTTCCACTTATAATATGAATATGTTGTGAGGATCTAATGAGTAATGTGGTGACTATTGTTAGCAATGCTGCATTATATACTTGAAATTTGGTAAGAAGTAGGCCTCAAATGTTCCTGCCACAAGAAAAGGTAATTATATGATGTGATGGAGGTGTTAACTAACCCTACCATAACCATAATTTTGCAATGCATAAGAGCATCAAATAATAACGCTGCACATCTCAGACACACTCAGTTATATGTCAATTATGTTTCAATAAAGGTATAGAAAAAAAGAAAAATAATGAGGATACAGAAGACAAGTTAAATATAGGAGCCATATTCTTATGTAGTGAAGGAAATCCAGTGCCCAGTGCTGTGAGTTGAACTGTGTCCCCCATAAAGACATATTCAAGTCCTATCATTTGGTACCTGTGAACTTGATCTTATTTGTAAACAGGGTCTCTGTAGATGTAATCAAATTTAGGTGAGGTCATACTGGATTAGGGTGGGCCCTAATACTGGTGTTCTTATGAGAATAAGGAAATTTGGACACAGACACACACAGACAAAGGGAGTGTGCCATGTGAGTGATGGAAGAGGCAGAGACTGGGGTGATAGATCTACAATCCAAGGAATGTCAATGGTTGCCAGAAACTGCCAGAAGTTAGAGGAGAGTCATGAGATAGATTCTTCCTCAGAGCCCTGACAAGGAGCCAATACTGCTGACATTTTGATTTTGGATTTTTAGCTCCCAGAAATGTGAGAAAATTAACTTCTAATGTTTTAAGTCATCTGATCTGTGGTAATTTGTTTCAGCAGCCCTAGGAAACTCATATACTTTAAATTATATTTAGATATGAGCAAGAAGATGGTATCTACTCTAATAGGAGGGAAGGCAGGAAAAAAAGATGGTGAAGATACATATAGACTAGTATATTTAGTTGTGGCTACGGTGAAACTTTCCTCTATTTCTCTCTATTGTCCAAGAGTGGGGTGGAAAAATCTACTGTAAATTTAACAGAGAAAAAAATGTAAGAAATAGTCATCTTAAAGGAGAGACTTGAACATATAAGAGAAGTTTAATACCATTGCTGAGTAACGTTAATGGACCACCTGGAGTTTGACATTATAAATTAAATTGAAGCCAATCCTCATGGTTACATAATTTCCTCAGCCGCATTCAGCTTGCAAAGTTACTACTAAGGAGTAATGGGGGAGGTGAACATATCTGAAACTAGAGTTTTGTCTAAGAGATATCAAAAGGAATGTGGATAGGGGCGCCTGGGTGGCTTAGTTGGTTAAGCGTCCGACTTTCGCTTAGGTCATGATCTCGCGGTTCGTGGGTTCGAGCCCCGCGTCGGGCTCTGTGCTGACTGCCAGCTCAGAGCCTGGAGCCTGTTTCAGTCTGTGACTCCCTCTCTCTCTGACCCTCCCCTGTTCATGCTGTCTCTCTCTCTCTCCTAGAAATAAATAAAAATATTAAAAAAAAAAAAAAAAAGGAATGTGGATAAAGGGGATTGTAGATTTAGGCCGGAAATTTTTTGTTTTGGTTCACCATGAGCCAATAAGAACCTTAGATAGATAAGGATCTATAATGGGTAAGAATATAAGTAAAGCCATGGGGAAATGATTAATGACCAATAGTTCAAATTTGGTAAAATCAATAGTAGGTCTTACAGGGGTAGGAGAATTGTTAGAGTGTGGGTATTAGAGGTACTTGAAGTAGTGATTAGAGAATGGTTGAAATTGAGATTTGGGAGGGATATGAATAGAAGTGAGCCACTGAAATAAGATGGAAGGCAAGATAATTTGAGAAAATAAAGTCAATTAATAGAGATATTAGAATATGGGAATGATTATCTATTAAAATTGCCAGGGTATTAAGGCATGAGGGAATGGCAGTGGGCCAGACAGAAAATCATGGCAAAATAAAGGCAATGACCTGGGAGTCAGTAGATGAATATAACAAGGAAACATAACAGATGATATAAATTGTATGATAGAAGATTCAAAGCTGGCTATTTTTAGGGAGTAGAGAAGTAGAATGAGTTGGAAATGCCATTGAGGAACCAAGTACACATCTACTGCATCTCTGGGTCCAGAGGTAGGAGGGGACATGGGAAGGAAAATATCTCCTACACAAGAAAGCCCCAGGAAAAACAATATATTTGAGAAACAGCCGAGTTTCAAATAACAATGAAGTGGAAATATCATTCAGATAAGAAGCAGAGGATTTGGCTGATGACAGTGTGTTTCAGAGATAATGCCCAATGGTGACATAATTCTGAAGCCTTTGTGATGTAAGAGGAAAGATCAGATGTAGGCAGCATCAAACTAGAAACACCTCTCTAAAAGCACTAGAAGCTCAATTTTAACTTTTAGATCAACTTCACACTGTTTTGAAATTTCTGACTTTAAAAGTAATACATACTCATTGAAAAACATCCAAACAGCATAAAAATGTGCCATTTATAAAGGGAAAATCTCTTTACGTTTTTTAGAATTTGAATTTCTGATTCAAAGATTTTCTAAATGTTCTTTTTATAAATGAGATTGTGCACTTTTACATGTTTGTTATTCACATTTCTTTTTCTATAAAATACCTGTTCATATCCTTCAACTGTTTTTTACCACCTTAATTGTATCTTTAATATTGAGTTTTATAAACTTTTTATATTAGATTGTACCATAAGACATTCCCATTTTTGAAGGCAAAAAATGATTGAATATTGACAATCTCGGGGCGCCTGGGTGGCTCAGTCGGTTAAGCGTCCGACTTCGGCTCAGGTCATGATCTCACGGTTCGTGGGTTCGAGCTCTGCATGGGGCTCTATGCTGACAGCTAGCTCAGAGCCTAGAGCCTGTTTCAGATTCTGCATCTCTCTCTCTCTGACCTTCCCCTGCTCACGCTGTCTGTCTCTCTCTCAGAAATAAATGAAACATTTAAAAATATTGACAATCTCATATGGTTCAACTTAATACACATGGCTATTAGCTGGTATTTCCAAGTCAGCGTGGTCTATATTGTCCTAATTTTTATTTTATTTCAGCAATACTCTTTTGGAGGATGTTAACTTTTAAAATAAAGACCAAAATTGAAAGATGTGGTCACTGATACCTGCAGAAATACTGTTGTTTAATTACTTATTAATATTTCATCATTTACTTAATGACTCCTTTTAAAAGTCAAGTTGCTAAATCTTCTCTTACTAGAAATGATACTGTCTTTCTTCTTAGCAGAGCAAAGGAATGATCTAAATTTCTTTTTACATAAAATTAAATATAACAAAGTTGTATAATAGTCTTAATATATTATATCCTGATTTACATTTTAATTGCCTCCATACACATTAATTACTTCCTTTCTTAAAATAAGACTTTATTGATGGACATGGAGGAGGGCACTGTGGGGATGAGCACTGGGTGTTATATGGAAACCAACTTGACAATAAACTATTAAAAAATATATAAAATGTGATTGTAAGCGCACACACACACAGACACACACACACACACACACACAATGGTTAAGGCCATGCAACTATTTTGTGAAAAAGCTTGAAATAGCTAAATCTCAAAGCAAAACACCCAAGATATTGTTGAAAATTTCGTACCTCTGTTTAACATTTTAATCTATAAATAATGTTACCATGAGAGAAACATTATTTACATTTAAAAGGATAAATATGTTTCCAAGTTGAGCATATTAATCATTAAAAATACTAAAAAGTATTAGACAAAGTACTTACAATCTTTTAAGAGACATTTCCCCTGTCTATATGTTGCCAGGACTTTAGCATTGTAATTTCAAACTGGTAATGTTGACTGATGACATCATAAAGAGACTGAATAACAGGAAGTTGAAGGGAAAAGACAGAGTTATTATATTTTATGGTGCATACATGTCTCTGAAATCTATTAAAAATTAGTAGCTGTGTTTACGCACAATATTTTACAGCTTGAACAGGAAGAATCAGGTTTTCATTGAATCTATTTGGTTGTTTACTAAACATATAATTGTTATTAGACTATTTCAACACTAGTTTTAAGCATATATGTGTACACATGGATCTATATACATGTGTATATGATGGAGCGATATGGATCAAAAGGAAAATAAAAGAATATAAATATTCCTTTATGAAGAGCTAATTTAATCTTGTACATTTCCTTCCCATTCAGACTTTCTTCCATAAAAAAACTGTCATCTATCTATCTAATTATCTATCTATCTATCTATCTATCTTTACAGTGATACTTCTTCAAAATAACTTGAATATGGTTTCATCTTATATGTATAAATTACACAAAGGTAAAATGCCTATTAACATAGTACCAGGAAGTCTGAAAGACATTTTTTCTCCCCAAATCTAAAAACAACTGTTGTTATGTACAAAGTTATGTTAAAATCAGTTACCAATGTGACTTGGTAGGGAATTTGCAAAATATGAACTTTTCATTATATAAAGGAAACTTATGGTAGATAAGGATGTATATAGGAATAAAGTGTCTTTTATGCATTCTAGATAACAAAATGTGAGTATCATTTTGGCTCCAGGAAGAAAAGAAGTTTAATAGTTATTCTCATTTTTCACTATTGTTTCTGTCATTAAATTTTTATTTATTTTTGAAAGTATATTTTTCTTATGTAATACTAACCCTATCTCATTTTTTATCTTGTTTATTAATTTTGAGAGAGACAGAAAGCACAAGTGAGTGGGGAAAGGGCATAGAGAGAGAGGTGAGGAGAAACAGAATACCAAGCAGGCTCTGTACTGTCAGCACAGACATTCTCACAATCACGAGATCATGACCTGAGCCAAAATCAAGAGTTCAATGCTTAACCAACTGAGGCACCCAGGTGCCCCTGAACCTATTTCATTTTTAGAAAACAAAAGGAAAATGTGATACGAACACCAAGGTAGTTTTCATTTGAGCAATGTTATATAGTCTCAGAACCCTTCCATTGGCCATACTGAGCTTAAAAGCGTATCAAACAGTATTATCTTCTGAAGTAAAGTAATACAAAGCCCTTCAATTTGTAAGTCTAAAATGGACCACAATCAGTAAAGGAATAAAAGGAACACTATGTGTTAAGAGCCTCGAAAAATGTTCCTACTTTCTTTTTTTTTTTTTTTTTCTAATTTATTTCTAGGAGAGAGAGAGACAGCGTGAACAGGGGAGGGTCAGAGAGAGAGGGAGTCACAGACTGAAACAGGCTCCAGGCTCTGAGCCGGCAGTCAGCACAGAGCCCGACGCGGGGCTCGAACCCACGAATCGCGAGATCATGACCTAAGCGAAAGTCGGACGCTTAACCGACTAAGCCACCCAGGCGCCCCATATGTTCCTACTTTCAAGCCAAGTAATTCTACTCCTAGGAATGCATACTAAGTAACTAATTAATTCAGCACAAAAATGTTAATTGTAATTTTACATAAAATATTAAAATTTAGAAACACTCTAAATGTCCAAGATTTGGGAATGGCTTTAGTAAATCCCTAGATTACAATTCCATGAGGCCAGGAATCATGTCTGTTTTGGTCATCCATGCCTAGCATTTGTGTGAGAAAAAAAAAAAAAAGGAACGTAGAACTGTACACACAGTTTGGTATCTACCATATACAGTGAAAGTATTTACTGCAAAGAGAAATAAAGTTAAATATATCAAAATGCTATACGTGGGATTATGGTATGGAGAGTTTTATTTTCTGCATACTATTTTTGTACTAAAAATTCCTACAACATAGGTATATATTGATAAGCAAAATTATAATATTAAAATATATGTAAAGCATTGCAAGTGCAGATAGAAACAATATTTGGAACATTTACATTCTTGGATTTTTGGAAATGATAAGAAAATTAGCATTACTTTTGAAGAACTGTTGAGTAGATAAAGCCAATTAACAAAATAGTCATTTTTATTAATTTTTAATGTATATCTATTTTTGAGACAGACAGAGACAGAGCATGAGTGGGAGAGGGGCAGAGAGACGGGAGACAAAGAATGAAGGGAGCTCCAGGCTCTCCGTTGTCAGCACAGAGCCTGATGTGGGGGCTCAGATTCACGAACATGGAGATCATGACCTGAGCTGAAGTCAGACTCAATCGACTGAGCCACCCAGGCGCCCCACAAAACAATCTTGACTAATACTACTTTATTTTTTTAACTTACCTGTTAACTCAAATAGTCAAATTGACATATAACTTCAATGAATACAAAATTGCTGTCAGAATTTCTAAGATTCAAAGAAAATTAAGTAATATCTATGAACATATAAAGGTGTAAATGGCTTATTTCAATTCATGTGAAGAGTATGCTTAAAGATTTGATCTTTTAACTTTGTATACGTTATTATTGATTTGACGTTTTAATCATAAGGAAGAAAATTAGACGGGAAAAAGGATTAGAGGAATGCTTTGTATTGGGAAAGATCTAGGGCTCAAGTAGAGTACATGCCCTGTACAACCCCATCACCAAGGCAATACTGAGGCAGAAGTGAGGCTGGTTGTCTCTTCCTCTCTTTCTCTTTTGTCACATCTGTTTCCTTTTCCCTCCTTCCCCATTTCAAAGCTTTCCCTGATTTTTAAAAATGAGATATAATGCAGGGAAGAGTGAAAGCATATGCAAATCTACAACAAGATTTGGCTTGGGCCCTGGACTTCTGCCAGCATGACCTCGAACTTTGAGGAAGAAAAACGTAACTTTTTTTTTTCAGTCACCAATTTCAGTCTTTAACAACATTTACACACAGACTGGCAGAAGATCACATCTTTAATTGAATCTGAAGCCCCCATACCACTTTCTCCCCTGCACTGGCCCTCCCTGCCACTCTATCTCCTTTATTTTTTTTCCATAGCACTTATTACATTCTACATAACTTATTTACTTATTGTTTATCACTCACCACTAGAATATAAAGACCATAGGGGCAGAGATGTTTATTTGTTTTATTTACTGATGTATCTCCAGTGCCTGAAATAGTGCCTGACAAATAGATGACACTATTTTTGTTGAATGAATAAAAGCTATAATTTATTATTAGGTAAGGAAATATTGGCTACCTCAGGGGTTTTTTTCACTAAGAAAGAATCATTAATTTCTGTAGCCACTGAAAAATTAAGATTGAAATTATCAATAAACTGCCACCTACTAGTAATAGGACTAAATTGGCCATTAATTTTGAGCTAAAATTTATGACTATGTTGCATTTCATTTTGTACTGGTTCCCTGCTGGTCCTGGTGGTAAGGGTGGAAGTGTTTTGAAGGGATATGCTTGGGAGTAAAAACATCAAATTGGAATTCAGGAAACCAGTGTTAAAATTTTAGCTTTGTCACTAATCATATGGCTTTGGATAAGCCAACTAAACTTTCTTTGGTCTCTCAATCTATAATAGGGATGGACCAGATAGTTTTCCTTGAGTGACACAGACTGTTAAGGATCTAGGAGGGTAGTAATCAAGTGATCTAGAGCCAAATTCCACATTTCAGATAGGTTTCATTCTGTATTAATATATTTTAATTAAAAGAATCTGAATGCTTGTACATGTAATATATTGATCCAGTATGAACCACTATTTCATACTGATCAGACATTTTAATTGGCAATGATACGTAATAAAAAAATAATTGTGAACACGACAACTTTATGGAATCCAGGATTTAAGGTAAAAAATAAAATCTGAAATGGCCCCTCCTCCCCCTTTCCACCATAACTCAAACTCCAGTAGATTAAAAAGAGTCTGATATCTCCATCTAGTTAGAAAAATGGTTCTCAACTCTTAAACTCTGATCAGTTATGAGGACACTCTCAAACTTTGATCAAGAGACTAAATAAATGACTATTCCAGGTGAGAATGCACACTTCAAGTCTTGTCAAAAGGAACCTTGAAGTGAGTGAATCATCTGGTATTGAGTGGAATAAAGCTTGCATCAAATTAAAAGGGGCAAATTGGGATATCAAAACTTGAACCAATGCAAGCCCTACATGAAGTTAAGGCTATTTCTGTGTTTTTCTTTTATGGTGTTGTAGTTAATCATTTAATCTCCATGATTAACAGAGTGCTGCTTCAAAGTAGGCACTCAGTAAATACTTATTAATGAATAAATATGTAAGAGAGCTATGATCAGGAAAGAGTTGTACACAGTTAGAGAACTGATATGCAACAATTTAAATAGTACAAAAGTGGATGTTTTTATAGATCATTAGTGACATTTAGTATTAGTTATTGTGTTGCTATTATTGTGGCCTAGTATAGCTTTTGTTAGAATCATTATTTGAAACGTGTGCTCAAAAATTCTCATTTTCAGGTGTGTGCTATAAACACATGACATGTACAGACACAATTGTGAATCACAGAATCAGAAGAACTTGTCTTTTTTTTTAAATTTTTAATGTTTTATTTGTACTTGAGAGAGAGAGAGAGAGCGTGAGCAGGGGAGGGTCAGAGAGAGAGGGAGATACAGAATCTGAAGCAAGCTCCAGGCTCTGAGCTGTCAGCACAGAGCCCGACGCGGGGCTCGAACCCGCGAACCGTGAGATCATGACCTGAGCCGAAGTCAGACACTTAACCGACTGAGCCACCCAGGAGCCCCAGAACTTGTCTTTTTAAATAGGAAATTGTCTAAAGCTTATGAGAGAACTTTACTAAATGTTTTATTTGTATGTAAGACCCATAACAAGTAAATGGTGGCTATATTTTAAGAAGATCTATGACAGAGTTCATTAGATATTTATTTTGATTGCTCAAATGAAGAAATTTTAAAAAGGCAAATGAATGAGAGGGATAGAG